TGCGCCATAAAAGTCTGTTGCATAAACCAATTTCGCATTTGCCTTGCACGAAATGCATCTGAGTGGTCGATGGCGGCGGGGTGGAAGCGAGCAGACGAGCAGTGGAGAAGAGGAGGTAGGGGTGGAGGGGAGAGCGTTGTCTAGTCTTCTGCTGGCAACTGGATTTGGTCGGGTGGGCGGTGGATTATGCAAACGTTTTGCCGCTGTCAACGCAAGTTGTACGCATTTGGCAGTGCGATTGAACGCAGAGTCCCCAAATCAAGTGCAGGCCCCAACTGCTGCCCACGCCCCTTTTTTGGCGAATCGTCGCTGATAACGTAAACCGCTTTGATTTTTATTTAACTGCACATTTCGCTTAGAGCGTCGCAGCTTCCACAGCCGCCCTCCAATCAGTCAACCCCCCGCCACCCCACCAACTACCTCAATCGTCCACCCCCATGCCCCTATTCTACCCAATTTTCTGAGCCCTATTTCGCATTCAACTCTATTGACGTTTAATGGCAAAGTTGTGCTGAATTTTTGCTGTCGCTGCTCGAATTGCTGCGGTTTTCTGCCAAACGAATTTTCATGAATTTTCACGAATTTTCACGAATTTCACCAGTTGGCAGTTGTGCCATGGTTTCGTTTTTCTCGCTGTATTTTCTTTTTGCCCATTTCGATTTCCATTTTCCACGCATTTTCCTTCTATTTTTTACTTTTTTTTTTTTTTTTTGTATCATTTCTGTATTTATTTATTCGCTAGCTGCTCAGTTGCCGATGAAATTGATAATTTAGAAAATTGCTAGCAAATATCAGAGCAAATGTCGCCGGCCCCCATTGCCACCCCTATAGCCACTCCCACCCGATAACTATCGGCGCCTCCCACGCACTGTTGCCAACATCGAGATTCTCGTTGCGTTTTCCAATCAGCTCCGCCATTCGCGTTTCCAATTTCATTTCGAAAACCTCTGCATATTGTGCAGTTCTATATTAAGACATTACCACTGATTGTAATAAAATATCTGCAGGTTCATTAGTAACAGATATTTCAGCAAATATTTCAGTAATAAATACAAATAATCGCCATAAACAATTATTAATATTCTTTTATGGCTTTGAGTTCGTTCGAGTAAATGAATTGAATTTAATTCAATTGGACGGCATACCGGTTGAACATAGTGAAGTAGTCCTAATTGCCTTGTAGAGTTTGTTATCAGTATCACAAATACCAAATTCCTAAATCAGTCCATAAAATAAACAGTCTAGCCTGTCTTAAAAAGGAATTTCACATATGTACACATAATTCTAGACTTACAAATTCGTATAATTAATTACATAAATTTATTCAATATGTCACGGAGTAGTTTAAAGCTTTTTAAAGTCCGTTCTCTGCATCGCAGCTAAGGCAGCAGCTCTTTCAATCAGAGCTCGGAGCTGGGAGCTTAGAGCCAAAGCATTGGCAACTATCTAACACAACTGGCTGATGCATTTACTTAACTGTGCAAGCACTACCATATGTAAACGTGCTTTCCAACACTTTTTCAACCCTACTCTCTGCCTTGCACTCTGTCTATATTGATGCAAGCGCACTCTCACTGCTCTTGCTATGGAGCTGCCTGGTTTCCAGTTTGTGTATTTATTTGCTGCTTTGCTCCTTTCATCATACCCTACAACAGCGTGCTATAGAGGCTAGGCTAGATGCAATGATATATACATGTATGGAATACAGACTGGCTGCTCTGCAAGCCCTAACTGCCTTTTGTCTTCGAGAGATCTGTTGAACATTTCAAGAAGTTGAACTACAAATTTGAGCTGCTCCTCAAAATTTCAACTTTGCAGTGATTATCAATCATTTGTACTGACAGCAGCACTACACCCGCTCCTTATCATTCTATCTGTCAGTATTTGCATAAGGTATACCAAGTCTTACTCTACCCTTTCATGGCTTTAGGACCTTTTGATCCGCTAATAAATCACTAATCATCCATCAATTCGAATTCAGCTAGATCTGCTCTGAAGTCAACAGTTGAACATTGATCATCTATCAATCAGTCTATCAATCAAGCAGTTAGTCAATGTGATCTTTCATAACTTTAAGACCTTCTGATCTTTAGAATACAGCTGAAAATCCGCTGAGTATGCATCAAGCATTCAATCAATCATTCACATGCTCAAACACAGCTTTACACTTAAGTCTAATCATCCATCAATCAGTCAATCCTTCAATTAGCTATACAATTTCATATTACTCAAGCTTCAGCTATATTGCTCAGCAGCTTACAGTTGTATGTAGACCATCCATCAATCAGTCAATCAATCATTCATTCGATGATTTATTCGTGCTGCGCTGCATTCAAGGGCATTAAAAGTTTGGTCAACTTCCAAACAACAGACGTACTTTCTTGTTTTTATTGAAATTTATGATTTCTGACTCAAAATTTATGTTGTTTTGCATTTTGTGTGTAAGTGGGTGGGACAGTGTAAGTGTGTGTGTGTGGCTGTCTGGGTGTAGGGGTGAGTGTGTCTGTGTATTCTAGGGAGCGGGCAAGTGTTTGCTTAAAAGCATAAAATAAACCTCAAATGCTCGTAAAATGGCGTACATACAAGTCCACACACACCCAAATTCAGCCCCCTTGATGCCCGAGCCTCTTCTTCTCGCCCATTTTTTTTTGTTGTTGCTTTTTTTTGTTTTTGTGTAACGCTTCTTGAGCCCTTCCGGTAGTCTAGCCACACGAACACACGCGCTTCCCACCCCAACCCCATCTCACTTACTGTCTCTCTCTCGCTGTTAGTATATGTTGGTGTTCGTGCGTGTGTGTGTGTGTGTAGCATCACTGCGTGGCTGTGCGGCTTTCATTTGCCCAGCTATGGCGCACAGACCAACGCGCGTGAATTATTTAATTCGAATAAATATTGAAAACTCAATTTTTTATGATGTTTTCTGGTTGGTTTATTGCGCTTTTGTGGCATTTTAATATCGAATAACTCTCCCTGGCGAATGTCCTCTCTGTTCGCCCTCTCTCTGCGTGTGTGTGTGTGTGTGTGTGTTTGCCTTGGTCCTATGACCCAGCCCTGTAGTGTGAAAGTTTGTTTGGATAGACAGCCGTAAAGCACAACACTTGCTGCTTACCCATATTATAGTTAAAATATGTACACACACACACACACACGCGCACACACCCACAGACACACACTTTTTATAGACTTTTTCGTTGTACAAATAACCGAAATTCAGAGCTAATTATGCATGGGAATGAAGCGCACATAATAAATGGCACAAATCGCAAATAAATTTCAATTTTATTGCCTGCGATAAGGGCGAAGATTATTATCTAAACCGGCTTAAGAATAGATTGAACTAAGCCGGGCTTAAGGCAGGCATTAAGCAGTAGATGCCGCACAATCTCAAAATAATTAATTAAATGTTCTCTTTTTATACCCTGAACCCATTGAAAATGGGAAATCAGGGTATAATGGTTTTGTGAAAAGTATGTAACAGGCAGAAGGAATCATCGCAGACCCCATAAAGTATATATATTCTTGATCAGGACGACGAGCTGAGTCGATATAGCCCTGTCCGTCTGTCCGTCCGTCCGTCCGTCCGTCCGTATGAGCAAAAGAATCTCAGAAGATATAAGAGCTAGAGAGCTGAAATTTGGCATGCATACTCGTGTATACCATAGGCAGTACGAGTTTGCTTTATTTTTTCGATAACTCATCCGATATCATTTTTATCGAGAATAATCGAAAAATCGACATGGTTTTTTCAGCCTAGTTTGAACACTTTTAAACCTGGAGACTTCAAATTTGCGTTGTATATAGAGTTAATGGACACAAAGATTTTGTAATTTACAGATTTTGGATACCACGCCCCCTTCGCCCCCAATTTGTAAAAAACGCATTTCAAGTACTAGAGACTTGTGCTTTGGAATGTACACACATATTCACCATATGCTTACGCTCTAAAAGTTTCATTAAGATTGTATGTCTACAAAAGAAATTATTTAACAAATAAATTGTCATAATATTGCCCACATTGCAGCGCAGCCCAAGCGCAGCCGCTGCTTACTGCGCAGTTAGCAGAGCGCGTGCTTATAAGTGCATGTGTATGTATGTGTACATAGAAGAAGTGCAGAATGATTAGAATATCAGCTTGGAGGGTTCAGGGTATCTCCTAGTCGAGCAGTCTCGACTGGAGCCTTCTTACTTGTTTCTTTTATTAACTTGAAACCGTTTTCAGTTCCAGTGAAATATATATGAGGGTATAACAAGCGAGCCTTGAGCTTATGTACGACTTCATCACATAACTCGACTGAAAATATGTACATATGTAGATAAAAAAATAAAAAAAAAATAAAAAAGGAAAAAAAGAAGCAAACAAACAAACATAGTCTCCTCTGTCAGTCTGTCTGTCGGACTGTCTACTCTGTGCTTAGCCATAAGTTGAGTCTACATATATTCACCATGCGATATAATCCCCAATAGAAGAAAATTGTGTAAAATTTGTGCTGGTTGCACTGATTAAGAATGGCTTACTGCTTGGCTGGTCGGGCAGTCCGGCCGTTTGGCCGTTTGGCTGTCGGGCAGTTAGTCCTGGCAGCCTTTTGGGGAAATCCTTTGAAAACCGAAAGATGTATGGACCAGCAGTCCGGCATCTAATATGTGCGAAATTTATCAACAACGATACTGTCTGCCATACAAAAGGCGCACCAGGATGAAGGCAACCGACATGGAAAATCGCAATAATAATTTTCCAGTTCAGCCTTCCGTATCCTCATATGTCTGTGTGTGTGTGTGTTTGTGTTTGGCTGTGCTGTAACTCTTAAGTGGGTAATACCCATAGTCGTACTGTATGCATGGCTTGGTGGTCAGCAGGCATGTGACTAACTATGCGATGTGGACAATCGCAGCCAGAACATCAGGGATTATATGATATTCTTGAGGGGCTTGTGGGCAGCGGTCAGCGGTCGCACAGGCGGCAAAGTCTGAAAACCAAATTGAAACAGATTTCTCGCTTTGCATATGCTCAACTATGTATAACTTATATATTTGCTTGTAGTTCAGTGTAGTTTACAGTTTACAGTTTACAGTAACAGTTAGAATAAATTGTAGAATACATTTGCAAACACATCTCTCAGATCCACTCTCGGCATTCAACTCGTTGCTCGGTATGTGGGAACGAAGGGTTTCATTAAATAGCATTTTCGTATATATGTATGTATATTTGCTTAGGTACTTATGCGTTTCAGGTTATCAAGTTTCTCGTAAAGCCGTGTTTGTCGCGTTAGCCGTGTGCCTTAACAGCCGGCTGGATGCATAAAGCCCTGGATATGATGACCCAGTCTGTGTCTATGAAACCATTGTGTATTAAGCTACATGAATAAATTATATATTAGGGTATATCATCGTCATATACTCACCCAAGATCATGTCCTTTACGGCTGTTCAACTTTGAGTAGAGTACTAGCAAAATTAGCGCTTGACCTGTAATCAAAAGAATCTGTTTGCTGGAGTTATTGCTTAGCCAGGCCAGAGACTTTTCCTGTGCAAACAGCCTTTGGTCTGCAAGACTATTGCTCTTATACGCTGACGATATGACACGGGCACTCAACCTGGCATCTTCTCGACGTTCACGCCTCTCATTGTCCATTGACCCCCTATCGGCTAAAGCCTCGCGTTCACGACGTTCCATGCCACGAAGATTCTCGATCTGTTGTCGATTGTCTTCCCGCATATCACTACGTTCTCTACGTCGAGATATATCGGCATCACGATCTTCTCTTCGAGATACACCTCGTTGCTCGTGTCCCTGGCTGCGGGAGATATCCTGTTCTTGGTGACGGCGGTCGACCTCTTGATTCGCTCGCCGCTCCATGCGTTCCTCTCGTTGGATATCAACACGTTCGTCTCGTCGATTCTCATGTTGATCTTCAAAACGCTCTTCATGCCGAGCGCCAACGATCCGCCGCATGTCTTCCGTAACAAGTTGACGATCTTCGTGTTTCTGTGTTCGCTCTTCACGGTTTACGAGACGGAAATCAGTGCGTTCTCCACGACTTACAAGGCGGAGATCATTTCTTTCCTCTTGTCGAACAACATAGCGATCACTTGAGCGCTGAGGTTCCTCCCGTTCTTGTTTCCTCTCTTGATTTATTTGATTCATCTCATCTCGCTCCACGTTCACACGACGGCGGGTCTCGAGCTGCTGTCTTCGAGCAGCGTCCAACAGATCAACTCGTTCAGTCTGTCCTCGAGTTTCGCGCTCTGCTCGCATTACATCCCGACGAGCTTCACGCTCCACTCTTCGAGATGTATCGCGTTCTTCACGTAATTGTACAGTGTGTTCCTCTCCACGACGACTATTACGTTCTGTTTGCTGAAGGCCATCACGTTGAGGTCCACGACGAGACACCATATCGGAGTCTCGCACTTCTCGATCATGATTTTGTGTAGTCTCAATTTCAACTCGTCGCATACCCTCCCGATTGGCACGCCTTTCATCGCGCTCTGCATCCACACGCTCCAACCTTTCCTCACAGCGACGACTGTCACGTTCCTCATTTCCACATCGCTGAATGTCTTCTCGTAACTCAAGTCGTCGCAATGCATCATCACGAAAATTATTACGCTGTTCCCTTCGGAGATCGGAGCGTTCTTCTCTTCGTGTATCGTCATCACGTTCCTTCTTTTGGAGATCAGAGCGTCCTTCCCTTCGGAAATCATCACGTTCCTCCCTTCGGAGATGCTCGCGTTCTTCTCGACGGATGCCCTCTTCACGTTCCTCCCTTCGAAGACCTAAGTGTCCTTCGCTTCGTATGTCCTCTTTTCGACGAGCATCCTCACGTTCCTCTCTTCGGGCAGCTTCGCGTTCTTCATGTTCCTCCCTACGGAGATCAAAGCGTCCTTCCCTTCGGAGACCTTCTCGGTGAATATCGTTGCGTTCCTCCCTTCGTAGGTCTTCGCGTTCCTCACGGCGAGTATAATCACCCACCCTTTGGGAATCATCGCGGCTTCCCATACGAATATCATCACGTTCCTCCCTTTGGAGATCAGAGCGTCTTTCGTTTCGAGAATCTACATTTTGGCGAGCATCATCACGCTCCTCTCTTCGGGAATCTTCGCGTTCCTCACGACGAATATCATCATGTTCTTCCCTACGGAGATCAGATCGTACCACCCTTCGAAGATCTTCCCGGCGAATATCATAGCGTTCGTCCCTTCGGAGGTCTTCGCGTGTCACTCGGCGAGTATAATCACCCACACTTCGGAAATCTTCGCGGCTTTCCATGCGGGTATCATCACGTTCCTTGCGGCGGATATCCTTTTCGCTCTCCTCTCGCCGAGTATCATCACGTTCCTCCCTTTGGAAATTGTTGTGGCCTACGGTGCGAAGATCGTCACGCTCCTCTCTTCGGGAATCTTTGCGTTCCTCTCTTTGGGAAGTATCGCGTTCCTCTCGACGAATATCATCATGTTCTTCCCTACGGAGATCAGATCGTACTACCCTTCGGAGATCTTCTCGGCGAATATCATCGCGTTCCTCTCTTCGGAAATCATCGCGGTTTGCCATGCGAATAGAATCACGCTTCTCTCGGCGAATATCATCACGTTCCACTCTTTGGAAATTGTTGTGACTTACGGTGCGAAGATCATCACGTTCCTCCCTTCGGAGATCTTCTCGACGAATATCATCGCGTTCCTCTCTTCGGAAATCATCGCGGATTTCCATGCGAATAGCATCACGTTCCTCTCGGCCGATATCCTTTTCGCGTTCTTCTCGCCGAACATCAAAACGTTCTTCCATTCGGAGATCAGAGCTTTCTTCCCTTCGGAGATCTTCGCGTTCCTTTTGGCGATTGGCATCACCTTCCTCTCTTTGGAAATCATTGCGGCTTTCTATGCGAAGATCATCACGTTCCTCCCTTCGGATATCAGAGTGGCTTTCCCTTCGGAGATCTACACGGTCATCTCGGTTAACAGCATCACGTTGTTCCCTTCGGAAATCGTTGCGCTGTTCCCTACGATTATCATCATGGTCCTTTCTCCGGAGAACAGAGCGTACTTCCCTTTGCAGATCCACTCGGTGAGTAGCATCATGGGTATCTTCACGTTCTGCCTCTCGGCGAACATGATCGCGACGAGTAGTTTGTCGCACTTCCCTGCGAGTGTCCCGCCTGTCATCGTGAGCCAGCAACTGGACGCGATCCTCTGGGTCTAGTCGTGCTGACCAATCATCGCGCCGACTGTCCTCTCGATGCAAGGGCTTATGATCCCTCTCATTTACTTGTCTATATATAAGATGCTCGTCGTATTCCTCTAGGTCACTTCGATGATCGTTGATTGAGCGATACAGCGGCTGCAATGGGCATTGCTGCTGCCGATTACTGCATGCCTCGGTATTGGCATAGATGAGGTTCAATCCGCCCAGCTGGAGGAGCAGAACTAGAATGTTAAGCCTTAACCATTGGGGATTCGCGGCCATCCTTCGGTGTTCTAAGTACTCCGTTTATGTGCTGCAGTTGTTAACTCCGCTGTGCTTCGACTTGGATCAGAATTCTCTATGTGGTTGCCGTTACTTGAGCAAGTCTCGGAACTTGAATGACTAGCCCGGTTACCAGGCTGGCCTTTTATACCAGATTTGTATTATGAGCGCACTAAGTCCTCACATACAACGCCCACGCAGCGTTTGAGCCGCAGTATTCTCAATGAATCTCAATTTTCCATTGATTGATTCAATTTCGCTTATCGCACATGTGCACCAATGCGCTTTTGTCCAGGCGAAAAGAACTTCGCTCAACTGGCTCTAATGCGTAGATTGTTCTTTTTCTTTTTACCAGCTTATTTTTTGCAGTTGAAACTTTTTATGAATGAATTTCAACTAGAGTAGCTGTATGGTGTGACGTCATAGGGGAGAAAAAATTACGGTATACTACGGCTCATTGATTTCCAAAAATAAATGCAAGAGGAAGAAAACTAGGGCTCATGTATGTGTGAGCAATTGGCGCTATTTTTGAATCTAATGATGATTAAACTGAGTGAGTGGAGTGAGTTGTGCAATTGAATATGAATTTTCCTTAGGGTAACAGTATAATGTAAAATATCTAATGAGTTCCAATCAGATGGCCTTATGTATATTAACCACAAATAGTACTGAAATATATAGGCAGAACTAGATAGAAAGAAAGTTCCTCAATTAACCTTAATTGTATATACAACGGTATTGCTGTATATTTTGAAATATGTATGTATAAGTACATATATACAAATCAATTATTTCACTATTCAAAACCATTGATACTAATTGAGCACCCTTAACTATTCACTTCTCTCCATTGAAGAGTCACAAATTCATATACTATATACATATAGACATGCCTATTTACTAGCTATTGAAACGAAATAAACATTTCGAGCGTGACGTCAAGGCTTCTTGTACTTCGAGCTAAGACAGACACAGTGCTTAGGTCGTCTGCACAAATGCGATAAGAGCGTTTCCAATCAAAATCGAATTAAAGTGCAATGAACAATATGTTGGCTCACTCGTCGAACAAGTGCTAAATAAATGAATTAGGTTAGATGCGCATCTGGGCGTAAAATTGCGTTGAAGTTGAAGCAACTGAGACCCCGGTCGAGATGTTCCTATAAAAGCAAATGTGTGTAGTCCACACGCTTGGCATTTGCCTCTCAGCCTCAGTCGATGGCACACCGGTCGTACCGGCTGGTACGTCCACCCGACATAGCTGTTTACCGCAGCAAAACTGGAACCGTTGGAAAGAGGAGATCGAGACGAGAGTGAACAAAATTGTAGTATTACTTGGTCACACTTTTGAAGCAAAAGTTTAAATAAATAATTATCTTTATCTACTTAGGACTACCCTACTAGCAAGAGAATGTGAATACCCCCGTTGAGGAAATATGAGAAGCAAGGCAGGAAGAAAACTTGGCTCATTTTTCAAAATGAGGCCGGGAAACAAACTCACAACTACAGTTGTAGCCATTTGTTAAGCGGCCCAAATTGGATGTACTTTACATAATAATCGCATATATATACTAATGTTTCCATACTACATACATATATATATATATATATATATATAACCTAATGGTATTTTAACGATGTTAAATGTTGCTGTTGTTTGGGATCGTATTGTCACAAGAATGTCCTCTTGTCAAAATCGATTAGCATTTCATATTACTCGCAATCTATACTATATATATATACATATATATACTTAACCAACTTATTTACCAATTGTTATAAATACGTATGCCATGCCTATAAAGACAACATACAAGAAGCACATACATATGATAATATAATGACATATTTAATCGTGCCCATGTTAGGCACACATATCTAATACTCTATCAATCTATAAAGCCTATACTCGTAAATTGCAAAATAAAATTTATTAACCCATGTGTTGAGCAAGCGAAAGCCATTAAATATCGTTTCAATTCAAACAAAAGTGGTGGAATTTTTTATGGGAAGAATATACCCCAAACACATTGAAAGTGGGAATAAGGTTTTTGTTCAAAGATATATAACAAACATATGGAGGCGTGGCAAACTCTAAACAGTCTATATATTCTTGAACAGAGCACCGAACTGAGTGAATCTAGCCATACCCCTCATGGAACCATCTCGGAGACTAAGGTAGAGATTTTCATTTGATATATATATTTCTATATACAAGTATACAGCAACACGCATATTTAATTGCAAAATTACGGCTGCCTAAGTGCAGTTATTCTGTCCGCAAAAATATAAAACAAAGTGTAGCATTTTATTGAAACATCAGGGCTCAAGATATCTTCTAGTCAGGCACACAGCATAATCGAACCAATAATATTAATTATATATTGAGCCTGAGATGGTTCTACAGTTATCTATGGATTATGGATAGATAAAACAACAAATCTAAATAGACCAAATGTCAATAGCTATGTATATCATAGAATTGCAAACTATATGATTCCATATACAGTAAGCAAACCCTTATTCAATAAAATTTCTGCAATATTAAAAAAATTACTAAATAATGAAATCGAGTTATTTGTTATAATTTTTAATTTTAAATATTATATTTTGTTACTCTTTACAATTATTGCAATTTCATTGTTTGTTACACTTTCAATGTCTTTTGCTGCGTTGCCTTTTTTTTTTTTTTTTTTTTAAGTTGCCATTTGCTGTTGTTTTATTTAAATATTGAATATTTTTATATTCGTTCGTTCTCTTTGGCTAAAGATGATCAAATTAACAAAGTGGCAAAATGTTTCAATTCAATTAATTTCATATTCATATATAAATAGTTAAATGTTCATTTCAAATATTGTTGCTGTTGCTGTTGTGGATTGTTAGTCAAATCGAAAAACTTTTAAAATCTTGCACAATTATAATTTGTTATCTTGTTTGAAATGTTTTCTCTTTTGTTTTGTTGCAGATTTTATTGAAATGTGCGGCTTATTAATTGCATTTAGTTAGTTTTTGTTAACGCTGTTTATCGCTGTCTTTATCATTGTTTATGCATTTTGTACATTCCTTTTACTTAATTCAATTCAACAATATTTGGTTTTTGTTTAACAATAAACTTAATAGATTTGTCTTTTATTAACTTGGTTACCAATAAACTAATTTCGTTAATTGTTTTTTAAAACCTATTTAAAATTTCGCTTGTACAAAGTGCAATACATAGATTAGAAGAGACAAGGGGAGAGAGACAGAGACAGACAGAGAGAGAGAGTGAGGGAAAGAGTAATAGATAGGGGTATAGTGAGTAAGTCTTAGTGTATGTGTGCGATTGTGTGTGTTTTTCATTATTTCTCAACAAATTTGTATAATTCTTCTATATATTATCATTAATTATAAACTTTCTTATGTTCTCCATTTGATGTTTTTTAGGCCATTTAGCGGCTGAGCTTTAACATATCGATCGACGATTTTGCATATTGGTTTCTGTTTCTCATAGATTATATAAACAAATTTAACATTGAGTTTCGTACTCCGATTCAATTCGATTCCATTAAATATCATTTACCATATTATATATAACTGGCAATCAAATATCATTTTTGTAGTGAGTTTATAATCTTTTTTTGCCTATTAAGTTTCTCGTTTTAGTTTTTATATAATGTATAATTTTGTTGCTAAACAAATCAATTGTCATTTATAAATTTGGTATGACACTGGTTTACATTTAACTATAAATTTTGATGTAAAATTTGTCATTTTCGTTCTATAAATTTGGTTGTTAATCTCTAAAAATACATAGCATATATGTATGCGTGTATATACGTGTACATGTGTTTGGTAAAACTGAACTAATCAGAATCAGAATCAGAATCAGAATTAGAATCAGAATAATAGTCGAAGTGGTTTTCATATAATTATCATTCAAACAGCATTATGGTAATGTGTTAGCTTTGGCTTCATTTTACTTAAACATACACACATTCTCCGTTTCTAATCGAATTATAATATGACAATCAGAATCATGATCATAATCGTGATATATTAGAGCGTCTATAACTCTATAATGGTTACGTACACAAGCACAAAATATTTTCATATTTAAATGCAACTAGTTGGCTGCCTCTTAAGATGAACTACGAAAATGCCGTTAGACCGAAACTTAGCTTAATAAATGAATTTTATATAATTGAGATTATAAATAAGTATGTTCCAGTTGCTAAAGTTTTTGAATGATAAAGAACTTGATCAGTTTTCTAAACTATACAATTTCATATTTAAAATGTTGTTGGCCTATTTAGTAGCCTCACTAGCAACGCTTTACATAATTTAATTTTGTTTTAATAGGAGTGTTTTCTTTTCTTCTTCTTTCTATGGTTTCTCCGTTTCGTTTCTTTGCATTTATGCCTTAAATAATTGGGGAAATTCGTTGGCTATCTCGCGCACCAGCTGCTGATCGGATGCGCTGCATTCGGTCTCTTCGCAAAAGATGCGCGTAAATATCTTCATTAGATCATGCTTGCGATGCTGATGGTCCTGATAGTTTGTGTTGCGCAGGATGCGACGGCACAGCTCCAAATAGCATGGGCGTGTCTTAATGAAATATAAACAGATATATATTTATCATATGTACAAACTTTTCATTCCTATACCTATATAGATGTACTTACCGCACTGCCCGCGTCCAAATCGGACAGCTGACGCACCACAATATCGATTAGCACCTTAATGTCGTTCGTATAGAACATACCGGCCGTATCCGTATGGCTGAATATGTCAATAAACATGCGCAGCACCGTATTCATATGCTCATTGTGATGCTTCAGCAGGCGCGTTGGATCATCTATTTCAAGTATTCTATTATATAGTATGTATATGTGATGTATCTATATAACTTACCCTCTCGATTGAGCAACAGCAACAGCTTCTCGGTGAACACTTTGGCTGTGGGCAGATTCTGCATGGCTTCAATGATCACATTCACCGTATGATCGCCAAACTGTTGATTGAAGGCCAATATCAGGGCGATTACCATGTCCACGAGCTGTTCCGGATTGTTTCCTTCCACAATTTCCAGCAGAAAGCTGGCAAAGTGCACGCCCAAATAATCTAAATTTGAATTGTAAATCACAAATTACAATGGATGCATTTGATATATACATATATGTATATATATATACAAGGTAATACACACCCTGATGATTCACGGGCATGGGCTGGCCCAGTGAGAAGATGATTGTTAACATTTTGACCAACTGTTTGAAGCGATCCAAATTGGAAAAGTGCGTCTTCATATCCTCCACCTGATTGACAGAATAGAAAACTGTAATTAACTCCATGTCAACTGTTGCAATCGTTAACTTACAATCTCCAGGGGCAGCACTGAGGTTAGCAGTATATCAACAATGATGTGATCCAAGTGACAGGCAGCAGTGAAAGTCTTAAGCAACAGTTTCTTGATGGACCAACGTGTCTCCATCTGATAGTATTGTACCAGATTGATGAACATCTGATATTGATCACACGACATCTCATAGCAGCTGATGTTCTCATCAGCGTTATTCTGCAAAGATACAAGAACGCAAGTGATTGATTGATTGATCTGATTTTGCGTAAGTGCGTGGCTTATATTCAGCGAGGTTTTCTGAAAAGATACTTCTATTAAATGTTCCTTCGTCTCTATGCTGACCACAGATTCTGTTTCTAGTTCCTTAATTTGAAATTATACCTTAAATCGATATTTATCGATTTAAGCCAATCTACAAAATTTCATCTTACATGTAGAGAAATCAATCTATAATAATCCATGGCAAATTTTTTCTAGTTATTAAAGTATAGAATATAATTAAACGTCGATATTAATCGATTCGGTCACAAGATGAAGCGAATAATAATCAGTGCCATCACAATTTTAGAAATCCGTCTGTTACATCTCTCCTGCTCTATGCCTTATCTCGCTTTAATTTCAGGACAGACATAGTCTCCTATTAAAAGACCGGAGGACAACAGTTCATTCAGTTATTGTAACGGACGCTAGTTTTCAAAATCCATTAAAATCCGAAAAACGGATTTAGGCACTTTGGAATATCTTCAAACCTGTAGTACTAGAGCTTTTCCAGTTTCTGAATGGTATTCAGCATTTTTAACCTCTTTAGAACAAAGTCTAACACTTTGCTATTCTTCACAATCTTGCTCAATCAATTTCAATTTGAACCGTCCATACCAGTATCTCAACGAGCTCCTCGAGAAATTGTATAATATCCTCCTCGTCCTCGTAGAGCATCCAGGTGCGTTGTTCCGTGTCGTTCTTGCAGTCGGCCAACTGGGCAAACAGATATTGTAATCGCTTGGAGTCGTGCGTGATGCCCAGCAGCTCTTTGGGCGTGGCCACCTTGCCGGTGACGTGCACGGCGACTGCCTCCAGATACGGATTGATGGCGCCATTGTATAGCTGCTCCAAGCTGGTTAGCACCACGCGCAGCGCCTCGCACGACAAATCAAAGCTGAGATTCGTATTGCGACGCAGTGCATCCACAATCTGATACACATCGGATGACTCAACTTTCAGCTGGCCACGCCCATTGTCCAGAGTACCATTGGCGCCGGCTGTAAGACTGGCGCCCAATCGATGCGAGAGCGAGGGGCTGTCGATGCTGTCCAGCGCTTGGCTATTGTCGCCGCAGCCATTGCAGCCATCATCGCTCGCCTCTGACTTGTCGGGCGCACTGTCCGCGCCCTGGCTGAGGCTCAGACTGAGCTGCTCGTCGTGCATAGCCGTGGAGCTGTTGCCATTGTGTGGCTTGTGCTTCATAGCTGCTCCCACTTCTTCAACAGATCCTGAGGCTGATGCTGCAGCGGCTGCTTCTGCTGCCGTTGCAGTGGCTGTCGCTGCGCTGGCGGCGGCGTTGGCTGCAGCTGCAGCTGATGTGGCACCGTTACTGGTGCTCAGCTGGCTGGTCTCCTTGTACGTGGTCACCACATCCTCGCTGGTGGTCGTGGTTGTTGTTGTCGTCTCCGACGGCTCTGAGGTGATGCTATTGTCCTGCGCCACATCCGAAACGGAGCTGCAGACCTTTTGTGCTTGTGTGGCAGCAGCCGCCGCTGCTGCTGCTGCTGCAGAAGTGCTGGCCGCCAGCGGAGGCGCCGGCAGGGGCTGCTGCTGTTGCTGCTGTGGCGTCTGTATGGTGCAGCTGCTGCTCTGCAGCTGCATGCTGCCCATGCTAGGGGACTCCGGCATCGATTGCTGCACACTGACCCCCACCGCCGGACTCGACATGCTCTTCTTGCTCATGTCCAGGCGTTGCGTAGCAGGCGGACTATTCTGTTGGGATTTCTGTTGATGCGGATGCGTGTGCGAGTGCCGGTGGGAGTGGCTGTGGCTGTGGCTGTGACTGCCGCTCAGCTGCTGCTTGTCGCTGTAGCTGTGCGAATAGGACAGCGATGAGTCACCGTCACGCTCCGAGCTCTCCTGCAAGGTTAGCCAAACAAAACGAAAAGTTAACATTGAATATCTATTGTTGTATATGTAGCTGCATCAATATGGGCATTCGTTTCTATAGCATTATTTGTATCTGTATCTGTATATGTACCCGAATCTTGGTCTCTGTGTGCATATGTATCTGACTCTCAACGCATCCATATATATCTGTGTCCGTTTCTATCTATCTACCTATCTGGACCTACTATATTTGTATCTGTATCCGTATGTATATCCTAATTTCTATCTGTATCTGTATCTGTAACTGTATCTGCATCTGTATCTATCTATGTTTAATATCTTTATCTATAGCTCTATCTACATCATTATCGCCGATATATATATATATATATATATATATATGTATATCTACATTGAATCAATGCTAACCGCATAGAGCCGTTCCATGGTGTGCTTCTTCTCTCGCAGTCTGTCGAGGAGCTCCTCCCTGGACATGATGCCATTAATCTCTGGCTCAGTGCACTTCTCCAGCGACTCAATCGATGAGTTGAGAAAGCTGATGAGAAAATCATGTTCCACCTGCCGAACGAACAAGAAAATCTTAATTAACTGTCACTCCACTTCGGTAAGCAGACACTTTACCTTAATCTTCATTACGTAATTGGATGGCACAAAGCCAATGTTGCCCTTCATGCTGACCACCTGCCACCAATTCCGTTGGCGTGCGGAGGTCTGGTAGAGTATAAAATATTCGCCCTCATCAAAGCTAATGGTTTTCGGATAAACCGCTTGAAAGTCGTACAGAGCCTTCAGCATCTCGATGCCGTTGCCGATGTCGATGCCGCTGCCGCCGCCGCCGACGCCGCTGCTGTCAGGTGCTGTCGGTCCTGCCGCTGCTGCAGCCTTTGTTGTTGTTGTTACTGCTGCTACTGCTGCTGTTGTGGGCGATGTTGGTGCTGCTGCTGCTGCAACAAACCATGTGACAAAAGTGTTCTATTGTTTAATATCTGTGCATTCAGAAAAAAGTAAAATAAAATGTCAAAGGGGCGTGACAAGCACACATACACTCTCACTCTTACTCACTCACACACACACACACACACAACACCAACCGCAGAACGCAGCGAAACGTATTTCGAGTTGCAGTCGCGGAGGCCTTTGCTTTTCCTTGCGGCCCTTCCTGGCAGCCAGGCACTAAAAAGTTCACTGCCGAGGGCCCAAACAGCTAACGGTTGCTTTGGCTTGGCCTACACACACATACATTCACAACACACACACACATGAAACACACAGAGCGCAAGGCACGAGCGCATGAAACGAATAAGCGACAGTAGCAAAATAGGAAACAAGCATCAAGAAAAGCGACACAAAGCAGCGTAAAGCCAAAGAAATTACAAAAGCGCACAGGAAAAATGCAATTTGCATATTGTGTGTGTGCGTGTGTACGTTTGCCGTGTCCTTTTAAGCCTGCTTTAGCTTACATTGTGTTCACACTCACACACACACACACACACACACACACAAAAGCTTTCGCTGTGTGTTAGTAATAAAAACAAAAAATAACAGGACATACCACTGCTCCGTTCTCGCACTCTCAACGGCTTGCTCTCACGCGCGCGCCTTCACACTCTCTTTCTGTTGTATTCGAGCTCTTTCTCTCTCTCTATCTTCGCCCTGTCTCAGTAGCGCTCTCGGCGTTTGGTATCTAACCCATTCAACTGTCAATTGCGTCTGTGACCATTGTCACCTGCAAGCACTACACACGCACACTCACGCACACGCACACACACATACACAAAGGTAGTTTAGTAGAGACACACATGCACACATACTCATGCAAATTTGTCAAATGTTGAAAACAACCCACTTACCCATATTTTTTAGCACACCTTGCTTTTTCACGCTGTATGCGCCGTGCGCGTCTTTGCCGTCCTTTTTGTCTCTTCCTATTGTTCTTTTTATGCCTGTTCCAGTTTTGACGTTTGCCGTTACCAAGGACGTTACGTTTTTTATTCGACTTATTGTTACAGTTTGCGACACTTGGCAACACTGTCTATTGCTGCTGCTATTGTCGTTGTTGTTGTTGCTTTTCCTACGGTGGAGCCTTTTTCGTCATATGCAACACTTTATGGCTATCGCCCTGGGCGTTTTCCGTTTTGCCGTAATGCGTCTGTACACTCATTCATACACATGTTATTTACAATTGCAAGTTGGACAGCGTTTATTTATCACTTGTTGTTGTCAGAGATGTGACGAGGAGGACAGGCACTTCAGCCGTTTTGTGCAGCCATGTATCACGTCCACCTCAACACGTCGCCTGTTGCCCCACGAACGAGCACTATGTATTTGTTACAATCAATTTAAACTGATTTGGTTTGCAGTTTTCCCGGTTTTTAATTTATTGGCAAATGAGTTTTTGCAATTTCCTTGTATGTTCCATCATTGACTCTAGGCTCGCCAACTGTGTTTGCAAGAGCGGCGGCACACTCTCACACACACACACACAAAGATATGTGCTGCTCAGGCAAAGGAATTCTACAGAGCTTCGCAATGCATGGACATGTTTGCGTGTATGTGTATGTATACACACATGTACCCCACCCAAAAGCACACACACCCTCTCGCAACTACTTATAATGTAACGGTATTTTTTCGTGTTTGTTTTGCTCGGAATAGAGAGTGTGAATCAAAAACAATATGCATTGTTGCAATGACTCACGCACATAATCAAATCCTTTGCACAAGGGCACTAGAAATGTAATTTAATTCTGCATAAAGTGCATGACGTATTTCACGATGAAACCGCAATGTGTTGTTTCCAGCTGATTTCATAATTATGTATATTAAACTGTCATTAAAGACGTGAGCAAATACAAACTCAAAATACGCAACACTTGGGACAACGCTAAATGCGCAATACACATAGATGCGAGCATAGAACGTAACATTTAAACGCACGTTGTCTGCCAAAAATAAATAAAATATGTATATGGAAGTTGAATGTCAATGTGTAGCTCGAATGTAAACAAAACGAATAAAACAACGTAGCGAGTTCAACGTAAAGCTAACATGCTCGTTTTAACAGTAACAGCGCTATACAGAGCGCAAAACGGAGCACGCTAACGCAAAATGCGCTAACGTTAAAAGCTAAATTGAAATCTGTACGCAGATCCGCGAGCAAAGATAAATAAAACTATGTTTGTTACAAACATATTTGTTTCGTTTTTTCCTTTTATTTGCATTTAGTGATTGGTATACATATGTAGATAATAATATGCACTTGATATTATCAAAATACTGCGTTTGCTCTTATGGGCAGGGTAGGCATTCAATTTGAAAACCAAAAAATCAACATACATACATATATCGAAATACGTTTTTTTATATGATTATGTATATATAAACTTAAATGCTCTGCTCACCATGCCATGTGCATGATAATTTTCAAGTGCTGTACATTTCTTTTAAATTGGCTAAAAATATTATATTGTGAATTATGTATATCTTTTTTTTTTTTCTATAAGTAGTGTTAATTAATTAAAGGATTGTTTATCAAGTCAATTTATTAATTATATGTATATGTAAAGATGCTCAGCGTCCAGCTCTTTGAATTCTCTATTAACGCTAGTCTAGTTAAAAGTTTAATATTTCCCTAACCTCTGTTGCACCATAACCCAACGTCTTTTCCAGTAATTAACGCTGTCGTTTAACTAATCATAAGTCCTAAGTACATTTTTGTGAATATGAAATCGATTTTTCATTCAAAAGGCATTTCTCATAACGTTCGATGAATAAAGAACATAAATATATATTTTACATATATGTATATATGTATACATCTATGAACCGTACAAAATGGTTATGCAAAACAGTTATAGGCATATGTTTACAAATTTGATTTACTTTCATAAGTTCTATTTATGCATGTCTATATGTGTGTGTTTTTTTTTTTTTTTAATTTTTATTTGTTTAAAGATCAAATTTTATTATTTTGAATATTTTAATATTATTATTATTCTGGTTATATACCAAATTAAATTCTTAACAATCGGGTTTAATTTGCTTTTGTTTTTTATTTATAATAGTTAAATAATAATAATAAAAATAATATTAATGTTTGTGGTACAATTACGCATAATAAATTATAATAGCACAAGTTTCTCTTTCACTTTCCTCTATTTCTCTTCAACATACTTATCATTTACACTGTTAAAAAAAAAAAAAACCAAACAATATTAATTTATATATATGTATTTGTATATTTATATATATACGTAAAAAAATAAACAACTTGGTTGACTTTGAACTATTTCGTTTAGGCGTATATTATTATTATTATTATTATTTTTAATTATTTATTTCACTTTTCTTTGTTTGTTTATCGCGTCATATGGAACGGCACTTGGTTGAGATTTCGCCCGGGCCTGCTGGGGCATTTTCTAACACAATCGTAGTAATACAAAGTAAACACATACATAAATATATATATGCAGTTACATAAGAAAAAATAATGAATAAAGAAGTAGCCAAAAGATATTGTATTATGTTTTTTTTTTTTTTTTTTTTTTTTTGTTATTGTTTATATGTGTATTTGTATAGATTTATATCTAGCGCAACACGCCCAATCGACAGCCTAGCTTCTCAAACACACTGCTCAATCAATATATTTTTGCTGTTGTTGTTTTTGGTTGAGCAGCATACTCGCCTTTTCTATGTCAGAAATAAGCCATCGTTTTCTAGATCTCACTCTGTCGTTCTTTTCCCCTCTCTCTCTCTATCTCTTTTAGTTTTGAATTTGTGGCCTGTTTAAATATTAAGAATCATGCTACAAAAATATTAATATTGATAAATGTTGCTCCCCATCGAAAGACCCAAGTGCGACGCCTCCCGAAGCTCGTGGCACGCAGCACGAAGCTCGCGGCTCTCTTCCTCTCACTGTCGCGCATTCTGTTGTCCACAGCTGGCTTCTGTCCGGTGTAGCCGATCCGCTCGAGCTTCTGCCTGCGTCTCGGCTAACATTTTGCCGCGCAACATACACACTACATATACATATATCTATCTATCTATATGTATATGTATCTGTATACATATACATATGTATGCATATGTATCACGTGTGTGTTTAGAGTAGAGGCTGATTTGCTTTCCTTTTTGGGTTGTTTTAGTTGTTTTGTTGGTTGTGTGTGTGAATCTGTTCGTCTGTGGTGTGTGTTTGTGTATATATTTCGGCGTGTGTGTATTTCGGCGAGTCAAATCAACGCGATCATTTGTCCTCGCAGCAGCCCGTCTTGGCCAGCTGCTTCTGAAGTGCGGGCGGAATGAAATCTTTCGTCTTGGAATGATTGCCCTGGCCAAGCAGCGCCGGCTCCACATGCTTGCCCTCCTGTATGCGCTGTATGCTCTTGAGCAGATCGTAGTTAATACGATCGCTGACTATCGAATCCTTTCTGCAATAGCCAATCGCAAAGAATCATTAGAGACATGAGCTATATACATATATGTATATACATAGGTATATATGTATATATATTTGGTATATATATAGAGGTATATACATATCAATATATATATATATCTATACCCCACTCACTTGTAGTCCGGATGGCTGAGCACCTGCTCACGTATCCAGGTAGCCGTGGTGATCAGCTCGCCGGCGGCGCGCTTCTGTATGAAGCGCAGATACTGTTCAATTGTGCAGTGCGTGTCTGTGTCCACCTCCATCGACTGCAGATAGCTCCGTATTAGCGGCACCAGGCCAGGGAATACGCCGGGCTGCAAGGAATTAGATTGTGGCTATTTAGATGACCGTAGATTTTCTATATAAACAGCCGTCAATTGGGATGAGCCTCCCTCCAGCACTTACCTTGCCATTGAAGATCTCATTGATGGTAAGCAGCTGGAACAGCTCGGTGTCCTCATCATCTGTATCGGTGTGATCGCTGTCGGTGCTTCCATTCTGAATGTGGGTGCCATTGGTGTTGGTGCTGCTGCTGTTGGCATTGCCGTTTAGTCCGTTTCCATGACCATTCAGCTTGGCAGTGCCGTTGAATAGAGGCATCGAATCCGTCGCATTGCTGCTGCCATTTGTGTTCGTTGTGGTGCCGTTGATTTGGACACAGGCGGCGCGCTGTTCCGTCGACTTGGACGATTTGCGGAACCAGAATTTCTCCTTGCGGCACGCATCCCGCTTCTGGGCCGTTTGCATATTCTCATCGACCTTGCTGATGGGCGTTAAGAAGTTCAGCTGATACGATAAGATGACACGGGTCAACAGCACCACAAAGCACACAATCGCCGCATTCTCAAAGTCGGAGATTTGCGCCTCGCAGGGACGAAACTCGACACGCCAGCCAATCGAGCTGTTCGGAGGCGGCGGCTTGAAGCGCATCGTCTGCCAATTGGTTGACTGGATGTTCTCGAAATGATCTGTGTCCTCCTCATCATTCTGATGGACCTTCTCGCTAAACAGCGATACGGTGTCCCGAATGAACAGATGGGCCACATGCTGGGCCAACAGATGATCGATGCCGCCCTCGATGAGACGCTTGTACACAGCCTCATCGTAGGTGAGCTTCACATCGTTGTATTTCGCCCCCTCGGGCGACAGATACGAATCGATGGAGTCGTATCGCGATTTGGCGATACGAAATTTGTTTTCCTTAAGCGGCTTCAGGCCGCGCTCCTCCTCTGTGCGGCAATCCACCGAGGAGCTGATCACATTCCAGCGGCAATCCGATTCGGTTAGATAGCCGCGGTAAACCGGCGAGGCGGCGGTCAGGGCCAACATAATGGGACAAAGCGGCGCCAGTTGATCATACAGGCGGCGCGCCTCGGTTATGTTGCAGGCCTGAAACGTTAGCTGGAGGCAGCAACAGCCCATGCCGAAACCCATGGCATCCAGGAGCACAACATCCGGCTCGCCAGGCGGCGCTCCCTCCACAGGCAGCTGTGTGTTTACATCCTTGAAGACTGGAAAGCGATTGCATTACTCATTAGCAATTGGAGTATAGACTGAGCGGCTATGGAGCTTACCCTTCAGCTTGATAGAGACCTTCTCGCCCCGTCGCATGCGTATGTTCCGCGTGAGCGTCTTGAATCGTGGATGGCCCGGAAATATGGCTTCATCGGGAAAGTAGAGTGAACGGGCCGAGCTCAGGGGATCTTCGGGTCGTGGCTGGTACACCGGATACGTAAAGTTTGGCGCACCGAGACGCGGAAAGTTTGTTATGGACATCACACATTCATCGCTGTCCAGCAGCTCGGTGACCTCCTCGCGGCGATACCGCATGTTGGCCTCCACCAAGTTGAAATGTGCCATCAGCCCGCCAAAGGGCTTGCCCGGAGTGCCTTCGATCATGTAGGCGCCATATTCGGGCCGCCACAGCGACTTCACGCCGTTGGGATCCGCCAGCTCCTTTTCGTTGAGTTTCGCCAGCAGATCCTTGGCCTTCAGTGAAACGCGCGCCACCTTCTGCTCATCGTCGAACTTGACAATTATGTATTCCACTTCGTCGCCCCATTTGAGTATGTCGCCCTGGCGATCCTTAAGTCTGTGATATAAATGTATGAACTGATTGATTCCGTGCTCACGAACATGATCTACGAGTTTTTTGGTCTCCTCCCAGGAGAGTGGATTGCCCTCGCTCAATAGGCCCATTGCTGCAAGAGAGAGAGAGAGAGAGAGAGTCAGATGTTGTTAGATTGATATTGATATAGAAAATTAATAGTGCTCCAAAGCACAGCTGCATACACGGTGGAGGAGAGACAGAGAGGGAGAGAGCGAGGAAGACAGAGAGAGGGCGAGAACAAGGCACAGTTTGTCACATTTAGATAAATTTATAATTTTGACTTTCTGTCAATTTTGTGTCTCGTTTCTATTGAAAACTCCGAACTGTCTCTGATTCTTATTCCATCTTTCGTTCTCTGTAGAAAATATTCCTGGTCAAGGAACTCTTTGATTAACTGACAAAGTAATCTTTTGAAAGGAAAAGCAATTCAAGTTTCAATACCCAAATCACATACATCCAAATAAATCTATTTTAAGAGCCGCACAAGTCGTAAAAAGCTAATCGGTCAGTTGAGGGACAGATAGGCGATGTTGCGGGACAGCAACAGCAACAGCTGCATCGAACCTAAACTCTTGAGGTATATATTCACAGTTAGCACTGAGAAGTGCATAGAGAGGTGAAAGGTACCTTGGTTTCATACTTGGTTTCATACTGCTCACAATCCAATTGGCCTTTATCTATCTACAATTCAGAACGAGTATTCGATGGTTGACTTTAACAAAGGCAAAAACTCCTTTTTGTGTGCCTATTTTAAATAATACGCATGCATCGATTATTATTTATTTATAAAAATGTAAAAGAAAATCGTCTGACCGCGATTAGATGTGCTTGGTGAATAATTCCAGTATATAGTTGCTAGGGTTCAGTTCGCTTTATTAATTGATGAGCTTTAAATAAATAATTGCTAAATCGATAATGGCCTAATAATACCCTCAGCAGTGAAAAGAAAATTAATCATGTTATTGATAACACAAATTATAGCTGTTGATAGGTTTTTTTGTTATATACATATATATATATCTGATACAATATATAATTGAGAACTTAAATTACATATATAAAAATTCCAGTGCATAGCAACACCTGGGATAACCAAAGGTCATCCGAAATCGATCCATTGTTATTCAAATCAGTCGCTCGATAGGATCATCACGAACTGCACGATAAGTATCACAAACAAACACAAACTTTACAATATACAATGCAAATTCGAAGTCTCCAGGTCTAAAAGTGTTCAAATTAGGTTGAAAAAACCAAGTCGATTTTTCGATTATTCTCGATAAAAAAGTTATCGGACGATTAATCGAAAAAATATGATAAACTTGTACTGCCTATGGTATACACGAGTATGCATGCCAAATTTCAGCTCTCTAGCTCTTATATCTTCTGAGATCCTTTTGCTCATACGGACGGACAGGGCTATATCGACTCAGCTCGTCAATCTGATCAAGAATATATATACTTTATGGGGTCTGCGATGATTCCTTCTGCCTGTTACATATTTTTCACTAAACCATTATACCCTGACTTCCCATTTTCAATGGGTTCAGGGTATAAAAAAAACAACTACCAGCTAATTAATTGTCTAATAAATCCAGCTCAAAATTGTGAAGCTATTAAACAACAAACAGCATTGCCATCTGAAATACTGCACTATATATCTTCAGCTTGCGATTTACTGTGATTCTGTACTACATACATACATATATACTATATTCGATTTGCATATAAATCACGTTTAAACTCAAACCCAGTTTTGTCGCTGTTTCACATTACACATTTTAACAAATACCAAATCGCTCAGCTGTGACAGTAATTGTATATTTCAGTGGAACTAGCAGCCAAAAGAAACATGAAAAAAAAAAAACCGACAAATAGTTATTATAGCAACTATATAATAGAAAGCATAGTAGTGTATATCTATTACAATTCAGTAAGCATTTAATGCCACTCGAGATCGAAAAGTTTCAAAATATTTATTTTGCAAGAGCTCCGTATCGTAATACGATATGGATCGTATGTATTACAATAAAAACTCTTCTAGATAGGTGCGATAAAGAGAAGCCTAATAATGATCAATTGAATCTATTTATGCCTAGGCAATCTATTTACGCCAGCTGATACCGTAAAGATCAACTCGATTGGCTTGTACAAGAGTTGGGACAGGGTCTGTTTCCCTTGACATGCTCAATCGATGGCAGTAAAATTAGAATGCTTCACCTGAGCACGCCTAGAGAAGCTAACTCTGACCATTTTACTCATTAGTTAAGCCTGCCTTAGATGAGACAATTTGATTTGATTTGATTGATTAGTGATGCATTGATGAAGCATTCTATATAGAATTAAATTTCACTCCAAATTGAAAAAAAAGTAGAGTTTGTATACCTTTGATACGTTCGCTAGTTGTAGCACTTTAAAATAATACTGATGCACTCTATTTCGAAAAACCCTCTTTGAAGAAACGAGAGTCAACTAGAACTTGATCGCTTCACGGCTAAACCACTACTAAATATACCCACGGCCAGACTCCGATTACTTATGCAGTGGATGGGAACGACGCTCGGACAGTCAGAATAGCGCTTCGTATCGCATTGCAAGCGCACGATCCAACGATCATTCATCGATCCATTCATCCACCCATCCATCGATTGCCGATGACGAAGCTGACAACAACAACGGCGACAAATTTACCGTTGCCAAATTTGACGATCACAGTGGGAGATTCCAACAAAAAACGTCGCAAAAGTTCTATTTATTTATTGTTGATGAGAATAGGATATACTTGAAATTCCTTTAACTATGATGATAAACAATGTCTCAGCTTTGCCAAGTTGAGGTAGATCAATCAAATATAAACATATCTATATATATGATATCTAGGTTAAATTTCTGGCATATCTTCATATTTCTACAGTTTACACATAATACATATATCATATCATATTGTTATGAAACTAAATTCTTTCGTATTCTTTTATAATAATAATAAATAATAATAATGTGGTATACAAAAGATTTTAGTTTCATACAAAATTTGATATGATATTATTTATATATATGTATATGTATATTATGTCGACTGTGAGAATATAAGCAAGAAATTTGACCCAGAAAGTTTCATTGATTCTGATCACTTCATATATTTATTTAATACTACATATTGCTTCCCTAGTTCAAATTGATTTTCTTACAATGATTTCCCTATCAAGATCACAAGCAATATTTTTTGTTTTTTGTAACAAAAACTATCAGCTGATACCACTGTGCGTGTGGAAGTGCCACCCATTTGGGGATTTTCATATCTGTATTGGAACGGATGTCGCAGTTGCTGAGGCAGGTGCCCAGAAAGGTGGACGATGGAGTGTGGTACGTTTGACGGCACTTGAAACTCTAGATTGCCTTTATAATTATTTGGACTACTTAATTTATTATGCATATTTAATACCAATCGTAAAGTAAAAATAAAATACTTTATTTTTTATTATTATTAATTCTTGTTATATGGATTTATATTTTGTTTATTATAGATTGCACTTGCTACATTGGGCCGGCATTTTGATTTATTAGACTATAAAGATTATAATTAGACGGGGTCGTAATTTGATACCGTAAGCTATATATGTATTTTAAAGAAATGCTTCTCGAGGACCGATCAAACTACATATTTTATTGAACTGTATCATATGACTGATATGTTCATGTTTGTAACAAGTATCTTCATGGTAAATATTTCAAATATCTGCTACAGTTACCACGAAGATATGCTCATGTCAAATATGTATCGAATATTTATGCTTCATGACATAATTTTACTATGTAGAGCAACTTCAATTCTCGTGAGCTCATGATAATATTAACTGATACATATGAATCTATCTATCTTCATGATAAATTTGAACCATGTAAATCAACTTCAAAGCCTAACAGCTCACATGAATATCTTCATTGTAAATATTTACAGTTAAATAAGTAATTTTATATTTCTGAACATAAATATTTACATGTTATATAGAACATCTTCATTGTAAAAAAGTTTAGAATATTCGCTAAATTTAATATTCACATATCAATAGTCAATATTTGTTAGTCAGTTAAACTCAAAGGCTCAACAACTCACAACAAAGTCTTTGTGTAAAAAGCCTATAAATTATCGTTCATTTGAAGAGCCCAACTAATATGCCGATCTCCAGTAGTAAGATAAATCGATAAACGATTACCTTGCAATGTGTAACGATTATATATTGCCGTATCGTAAACAGAATTATGAATGTCTTTTCATCAATTGTATATACTATAAGGGAAGAGGAGGAGAAGAAAGGGAACTTCTGATTGATGAGTTATAGGGGGTTTTACATATACTATATGTTTCGAAATGTTGGGCTCTGTAAGTTCTGATTGTTTAACAATCTGAATGAGCAAATTGAATTACTGTTCGTAGAACACATAACGGAACAGCTACCAGAATAAGCTTACACAATCGACTACAGTATGCATCAGTTGAATTTCTGTATAAAATCTAAATGGTTTAATTAAGCAGTTCGCGTTTGGTCGCAGCTGTAGTTAATTTAAACTAAAACAAGTAAGAAGGCTCTAGACGAGACTGCTCGACTAGGAGATACCCTGAAAATATGTGTACATTCCAAAGCACAAGTCTCTAGTACTTGAAATGCGTTTTTTTTACAAATTGGGGGCGAAGGGGCGTATCCAAAATCTGTAAATAACAAAATCTTGTATATATATATACTGTGTATACACAGTCTCCAGGTCTAAAAGTGTTCAAATTAGGCTGAAAAAACCAAATCAATTTTTCGATTATCTTCGATAAAAAAAGTTATCGGATGAGTTATCAAAAATAGTTGATAAACTTGTACTGCGTATGCTAGCTCCCATATCTTGCTCATACGGACAGACGGATAGGGCTATATCGACTCAGCTCGTCGTCCTGATCAAGAATATATGTACTTTATACACCATTACCATTATACACTGATTTCCCATTTTCAATGGGTTCAGGGTATAATTAACCACATACATTCATAAATATGCATCATACATATACAAAAGTGAGAGCTTCAATGTAATAAAAATTTC